TGCTTAAGTTTATATATCTTAACTTGATACGGCTATTTTCCTGTTCCTTATATAAAAGTATCCATATATAAAAGTATCCATTCATTTTACAAGGTTGCAGTAAAAAATTGAAACATAAGAATCCATTTCCTGTCTGACAGACCTTAAAGATGAGGAAACACGTTGTTAGGTTTTGTTCTACCAGTGGTGGAGGTCTCTCAGTTTTCGAGGGGCCTATTGTCTCTGCCCTATTGATAAATTATATTTACTGATTCAAAAGTGAAGAGTTTATAAACCCTTTGGGTCAGATGGAAGCTTGAAAATGAAAAGTTTGAATTGAAATTGGCACAGTGTCTGAATAAGATATAAAATAGTTTTTATTCATGATTATTGTTTTCATCTTTGCAAAGGCAAAGGGTGTGTGTTTGCATGGTTGTTTTATGGGACATACTAACCTTTGCTCTGTGGTGGGTTTTGGCTGCGGTCTCGCAGAATATTAATCTCGTAGATTGCTCCGTAGGGATTAAACAGTTCATGAAGCTGCTCCTCTGACCAAGACCGTGGGATTTGCCCTACAAACATCTTAATAGCATCAATGTCTGGTTGATCAGAATGGTCCAGGGCTCCATTCATCTTCTTCCTGCTGCAAATGCAAATATTATTAGTGTGAAACTTAGATGTGATTAGAAAGTTTACAACACTAATTTCAAAGGCTTTTCTGCATAAATAGAGTGTCTAATTATTTTAGAAAGAAAGGTCAAAGGATGGTGCTACAGAGAGATGTATCTAAAGCCAACAAGGGCATCAACAAGCTGGCCACTGGAGCAATCCTGAGTCAGAACAGGGCTCTAACTACCATTGAGATCATGTCCTCCATATTTTTTATTCATATTTGGCCTCAATTATGATATAAACTAAAAATAAATGACAGTGAAACTGAGTTTAGGACAATGATCTGAATCTCCCCCTAAACCGTGAGGTGTTTTATATTTAAAGAGCGAAGAGAAGTTCGACTATCTACTGAAAAGAAGTGGCTACCATGTCGCTACGGTAACTGCAACACAAGGCTACAGACGGCGTTAGTAAGTGAGTCAGTCACAGCAGTCAGTGGAAGTGGAGCACACCCACCGAGCAAAACTTTTTTGAAAAGACATGAAATGAAGTTATTTACATCCAAACGACATCTTCATTTGGTTGAAAAGTGAAAAACTATAACTTTCATATCGTTAAAAAGACGTTGAAAACTGGGTTTGAAACATCTGTTATTGGACTACAGAGGGACAAAATCAGAGGGACCAATCACAGCCCAGTGTTCAACAATGATTTCTGGACTAAATCCAGTCTATGACGGACCGAACAGGTTTAGCCTAAAAACCATTGTCTGAATGACGTCTGCTGGAGCATCAAGCTTCACATCCTGGAGGAGAACAGTTTCAGTTGTAGATGACGGCAAGAGAAAAGAAAATTTTCATGAGGAAAGATTTCAGCCCAGCTGCTCAGACAGCGAAGAAACATCGAACCAAAGCTGCTGTTGGACACCCTGGACTCACTGCAGTTTGCTAACCAACCCATTATTGGAGTGGAGGATGCCATCGTCTACCTGCTTCAGCAGGGGCTCCCCGACCTGAAGACCACTGGGAGCACAGTGAGAGTCATGTTCTTGGACTTTTCCAGTGTTTCAACACCATCAAACCAGAGCTGCTGAGGGGGAAGATGGAGGACAGTGGAGTGGACAGACATCTGGCTGCCTGGAACATCAACTACCTCAACGAACGCCCTCAGTACATGCAGCTGCACGTCTGTCAGTCAGAGGTGGCAGTCTGCAGTACCGTGTCCCCTCAGGGCACCGTTCTGTCTCCGTTCCTCTTCACCCTCTACACCATGGACTTCACCTCCAACAAGGACAGCTGCCATCTCCAAAAGTCCTCCACCATTGTAGACTGGGATTCTGAGGGGAAGGAGCTGGAGTATTGATCGGTCATCATGAGCTTTGTGGACTGGTGTGAGAAGAACCATCTGTGTCTGAACACCAGTAAGACCAAGGAGATGGTGATGGACTTCAGGAGAAGACCTCCACCTCACCCTCCGTGAACATCCAGGGACAGGACATAGAAAGTGTGGAGAGTTTGAAATCCCTGGGTGTTCACGTCAATAAAAAACTGGACTGGACTCATAACAGTGACGCCCGGTAGAAGAAGGTTTCTGTCCTAGGCTGCACTCTGGACTAAGTGGCTGAGAGGAGGGTGCTGTCCAAGCTTCCATCCATCATGGACGATACCTTCCACCCTCTGCAGCAGACTGGACAGGAGCTGAGCAGCTCCTTTAGTCAAAGACTTTACAGCCTGTTTGGAAAAAGAAACACTACTGCAGGTAATTCATCCTGCTGCAACCAGACTCTACAATGAGACACTATAACAGCAATAACTGCTGCAATGGAGAATGTGTGTGGTGATGCGGCCTCTTTCTGTTCCTTTTGAAGTTAATTTCATGTCTCTTATTTTTCTGATTTGGATTTGGTTGTTTTATTTAAAAGTTTCCTTTTTTTGTTAGATTTAGCTTGGGCTACTGTGTTGCATGTCTTTCTGATTTTGATTTGATGTGATGTTACCACTCATACCCGGAGACGCCCAGGGCAGCGGCACAGGTGTTTTCCATCAGCCAAAAAGTGTGCAGACTGGCACGGCCGTTATAAAATGGCAGCTGTGCAGTTGAAGGGATTCAAAGCCGTTCAGAGCAGAGATGAAGGAGCGGCGGACGGAAGGACTTTGCTGCTCAGACTCATCCAACTATTCACCAAGGAGGAACGGGTGGGTGTTGGAATGAGCTGGAGGTGA